GGTTGAGTTATGAGTAGTTCGGGGCCATGTTCTAGACAATTGATTTCTATTATACTCTTAGAGGCTCGTAGACGTTTGTTGTGTGTGTAGTGTCATATTTGTAGGGCGGGTGGGCCTTGTTGTATAGATTGTTTTCCATTTCATGGCTTGGACAGCCTATTGTATATCCTTTTGGTTGGTTAGGTAAGCCAACCTCTGCCTTACTTTGTTGTTACTCTGGTTTTATGGTTATTGTGTTGTCAAACCTCGTCGGTTCTATCTTTGTTTTATATTTGATTGTCGTATATGCTTAATTAGGTGTGGCACTAGGTTCCAGACACACCTCCCCGAGACTGGGGTGTGACTACCCCAATTATGGGTCAATCCCCCTAAATCACCCAATATAGATATATTGAGAATGGGCTTGGGTGGAACATGCAAGCAAAGTCTTAGGCAACCCATGGGTATCTTTAGATAGCATCATAGCTATAAATCTACTTCAATATTATCAAATTGAAGATAACTCCCTTCTACCCAATTTATTGTTGCCAATTGAAATTCAACCTACGCCTAGGAGAATCCACTAAACAAGGGTTATGCCTTGAGTTATTTTTGATTGATGCAAACCCAACCTAAATTTTCTCTTTCAAGCCTCATAAACGTAATTAGGTAGGATTGGGTGACTTTCATCACCAATCACACACTACAAAGAAATAGTCAATCAAATGTTCATAAGCCCAAACTCAATTTACCAGATTGGGATCATTAGGGTTCACAACCTTATATCTATGTTTAGTTATCCATAGCAAGAAGAAAAAAAGAGTAATTAGATTTTCTCACCAATGGAAATTGAAATTATAGAAGAAATCTTCAATAGATGAACTTGGATCTCTCAATGAACATTCTCAATATTATGTCTTAAAGAGGACTCGAACCTCCACGCTCTTTAGCACGAGAGTTTGAGTCTTTCATGTCTACCATTTCACCATCAAGGCATCAAATTAAAAGATAAAATCAAAGATATACAATGAAAAGTAAAGCAAACTTCTACTCTTTACTAAAAATAATGAATGAAAAACTCTCCAAAAATTACAAGAAAAATCTATTTATACTATGTCCCAAAAGCCCAAATAATTTAAACTCGGAAGTGCTAGGTGTGCAGGGATGGACCGTCCCTTGGAAGGAAGGACCATCCTTATCCCCATCGCTGACATTTTGTCTTCTGTCCAACAGCTTTTCATCCCTTGATCGACAGACTGTCTCCTGGAAAGACGATCCGTCCTTCACGTCGTCCTTTAGAATTCCATTATGCCTCATTAGAGTCCATTATCCAATTGATGGACCGTCTTTTGAAAACACAATTCATCCCTCAAATTGTCGTTTAAGGACTCTTTCAACTCATTTTCCGAAATCATTGGCTGGACTTGGACCACTGATCATGCGGACCGTCTATCAAATAGACAGTCCATCCATTTTCTCATCCTTTGGACAACTTTCTAGATTTGACACCTCTCATCTTCATTTTTCTTGGTTCCTCAAACATGACATAATAAGGTTAATTTTTACTTAATTTAACTCTTAAATACATGCAAAATGCTATGAAATGAAGCAAAGATCTGTTGCTAATTACCGATACATCAACACTCCCAATTTAAAGCATTTGTTTGTCCTCAAGCAAACTAAGAAAAGAAACTACCTTACACCTAACTAATGTCGCGGGATCATAAATTGTCATAACTAGGGTGGTTGTTAACAATGGCTACAAACACACACAGTTCAATCCACCCACCCCCTCTATCAATCAAAAATTAGTTTTCTCACAATTGTTCGGACTAAGAATGCAATCTCTATTTATGAAATCATGTCAACATGCACATATCTAGATTCGAAAAGTGAAACATGTCGGTCATTCACATCCACATGCCCTCACAATTAGACCAAGGAAAGTGCCCCTTTTTGTGAAGTAACGATAACACACAAATCAAGGACACACAAAATCAAGAGAGAAGAGAAATTGACTCAACTCTAACAAAGAAGTTCAAAAGATAGGCCACAACTACCATATGCTTTCCTGTTTACTCAAGTGTCATTTCTTTTGGATATCTAAGTTGACATCACACAAGGGCTTTTCTAAGCTTGTAAAAGGTCAATGGGCTGGTAGGATATAATTACGGCCTTTAGTAACTCATTTACCATCCTTGAATACTTCATCACTTTTCCACAACCCTTTTACCTCTTTGATCCCTTCTTTTCATCTCTTCTCTTGTTTTGGCAACTTTTCACACCCTCAAAGTGTTTTCACGAGCTCCAATTTCATTTTTCTCTTTTTCGTGTTCCTTTCTTTTTCTTCTTTTTAGCTCATTGTTCAATTTCACCTTGAGATATGATCAAACATCATCTTATGGCCTATTTATTTTTGTCCCTCCTTNCCAACTTACAATTTTTTGCTCATTTTTCATCACTTTTCAAGTGTCAAGGAGGACAGGTTCAAAAGAGGGTCAACTTGAGAATTGGTCGTGGCTTTCATAGAGGTTGATGAAGAAAAAGGTCAAAGGGTTAAAAAGGGAGACTAAGGATACATGCATCATTTGGTAGGTCTCGTTTGGCAAATGTGGCTTGTGATGCACAAAGAAGGCCAAAGTTCATCCCTACAACCCATAGTCAATCCTAAGTTTTAGCATAAGTAGCAAGACAAATTCTAGACTGTGACCAAATCAAGTGAACAAGCAACATTCCTTTTCACACATAGGCACACGGACATAAAAATGAATAAACACTTCAATCTCAACTAGGGATACATTGTCAACATTTTCATGTCACACGTGGGGGTATATAACTCAATATTGAATAGTTACGGTAAAAATTTAAGGGGGACACTATTTTCAAAAATCAGCATAAGCATGTAAATAACTCAATTTTCACCACCATCTAAGTCAAAAGTAATTTATTCAACCAAAGACGACTTGACATAGTAGGCTAGTAGCCTTAAGAATATCGTCTAGCAATCCATCATCGGGCCCACACTACAACACTTAAGTTATTATATTGTGCCAGATTTAACAAAAAATAAGCCTCCCGGGAAAAAACATGGCTAAAAATCAAGGAGGGCTCTATACTAAGAAAGCAAAAAAGAAGCTATACTAAGAAAGGAAAAAAGAAGTTATACTAGGAAAGTGGTAATAATGGACTAAAGTGGATCACGATCACACACATCAATAACTCAATCAAAAGAAAATATCATACAATTTAGAGTTTTCACATCAATCAAGAACCATACATACATTATGTCATCATAAAATGTCCATCCCCACCCTAAAAATGGTGCAGTACCCTCAATGCACAAACAAAAAAAAATGAAAGGGTAAGAGTGACAAAAACTCCTGGTAACGCTCAGATTGTGCTACTCAATGCAGTGGTAGTGATGGTCTAGCATGTACATCATAAGGACGTCCTCGAATCTCATCTTGGGAAAACTGTATCGCCCTTTTGAGGGCCTCCGCCTCTGCTAGGGTAATAGCTGAATCCACTATAATGTCTCCTGTTCTAGAGCCTTGCCCTTATTTAATGGAAGGGCAAGGGCCACTATCTGGGCTTGAGCCAGAGGAGGAATCTGCTCCTGTAGAGTGCTGGTGTCACATCCAAAAGACGAATAGGTGTGACTGACACTCTATGCATACCTGATCGAGCACACCCTGCCACTGGACTAGCCATAGCAATCCAGAATCAATGAGGTTCGACATAATAACATCCCGACAATAGTAATCACAAAACATGGCAACCAGGTATAATGCAACTAGGGTTGTCAAGACCGTGTATAACCCAAAAGACATATACAAGGGCTTGCATGACCTATTACAACATTTACAACCCAACAGGTACTATTTATGAGCCTCTAAAGAGTTTAACAAGTTTATAATTATCGGGACAGGGCCCCGACTTACCCAATATATACACAAAATCACAAAAAGTTATCTCCGAACAAGCTGGAGCTTACCACACTCATCTGGAACTCAACTCAATCTCGGGGACCTCAATCAGCCTAATGTTCAGGATCTGCAGGCGTGAATGTAGCGCCCGACTTGGGCGTCAGTACACAATGTACCGACTATGAAAGGTGCTAATAAAATAAGAGTTCGAAGACAATAGACAGCTGACAAAAGATAAAACAACAACCTCAGAAACATAACCTAGATAGGAAGCTCCAAATAATCGTATAACATCACCAATTAATACAAATATAATACAAATTAACCATTTCATCAATCAGGCACTGCTGGACCATCTCTCGATTGTGTAATTAGCGTAGCTCAATCCATCCGGGAGAACCAACAAAATCCTAGGAAGGATAAGACATGCAAGACCACTCTCGAATCATATCTGGATTCGACACTATGGAGAAGATCATCCTAGACCTCGTAGGTCATTTCACTCCTTGGGCTCAACCCCTCGGCTGGAAACACTCTCGTGCGTCGGGTATCCACGAGCACCAAGGCCTCGATTACAACATACAATCATAAACAAAAACAATAAAAATCAATCTTCACAAGTAAAGACCTTAAACAACCCCTAATCAACTCACAACAATGTCAACCAACACTCGTGACACAAACAATTTCTAAGAATTAGTCGACTTGACGGCGTGCCCATCAGCACACGAGTCAAACCCAACCTTATAAAAATATCAACACAACACACCACATAACCAGTATCTCAACTAAGGGCACACCTAGCATGAATTCAAGGCTTCACGAGATAGCCCACACACACGACAACAACACCAGCACAAGTCTATGAAAATCATGCTGAAAAAAGGAAGAAATGGCCTAACATACCTCGGACGTCGATGAAACCAAGCTAGCCGAACCTCCAATCCCCAAATACACCAATATATTGACTTAAATCAGCAAACCAACCACCAACACTCAGCTAGAAGATCCGACATGAAAAATAACACAAAAATAAAGTTTACGGACTAGTTCATGAATTCAGCAGTAAGAAATCTAAAATAACAATATACCAACATCAACAATTTCTTAAGCATCCTAAACATACCCAAATACCAACCAACAACACGAATCAACCACCAACATGCCGGAAACGCAACTCAACAACGCGATCTACGCAAAGAATCAACCTCCCCGACACCAAAATCACTTCGACTTATGACTTCTAGTCCCAAAACCGATAGTACATCTAGGAGAGACCTTGAGAGAGGTTTATTATGAAGAGAGTTTATGGAAAATGGATTTGGGTAATGAACAATCGACAAAGGGGACTTAAATAGTCCTCCACCACCTTGGCCATTTTTGACGTGCCCGCTTGCACAATCTCGCGAAAACACGAACATCTCCCTATTCTGAATTTGGATTAGTGATGTACTAATGTGCTGGAAACTAGACTCATAGAAATTTAATTTAATAGGTTCTAGTTCATCTAAATCCTTATAGGTTGGGAGAAAAGCTCTGAGACATTTGACCCAAATTTCAGAGAATTTAAGAAAGAAATTTGTGATAACTTTTGCCGAATTTTGCTCTATAATGATTTATCAAAATTCAATCTTAAATACGACTGAAGAGTGATTTGAATACCTTATAACACATTCTTATTAGCATATTAAGTACTCTTAGTGCTACCTCGAAAGTATGGATTTATTTTTCAAATTAGACGGGGTATTATAGCTGGCCCTGGTGATTGGGGCTAGTGGTGGACTAGAGTGAGTCTGAGTTGGGTGGACTGGCACCGCACGAGGAATGAAATATATGATGTTGTCAATGGGTAGTGTCTGATCCACCAGCAGTATTTGAATCTCCTTTGACTTCCTTTCTCGCATTTGTAAGTCAGGTACAGCAGCTCTGGTCTCTGCTAGATCAACTCAGAGGCTCAATATATCTGAAGAAATAGGGCCTCCTCTAAGCTAGCTCAGTCTGGCATCCATGGCCTCCAAGCAAGAGCTTAAGTCCTCATGAGACCTCCTGAATGTGTCTCGGAGTAGCTA